TTAAAAAAAAAAAAAAAAAAAAAGGTTGGTTTGTGTTTAATAAATAACTAAGATTAACTTTCCTGTGATTTCCGTACTTAGTAGAAATTATATCAAGTTAGTTCTTGTTAATAAATAAAAGGATAACTTTCATATAAGGAATTATAATGAAAATATAGGTCTGGGGGTTATGATCTGTGTGTACATTGTATTTATTTTTATTTTCAAAGCAAAATTCTGATTGTGGGTTGGTTAGATACAGTTAAGGAAAAAAAAACACTGATTCAAAGGAAATACTAATTCTGTGTTGGTTAGAGAAAGTTTTACAACACCACTTACTCAAAGCAAAGTACAGTAGGCATTCGTTTTCCGCACTAGTCGGGGCTGTAGAGGGCCAGAATTCCAGAAACCGTACAGGAATCGGTCACCCAGTGATGCCAGAATCGTGGGTCGCTTTACCCCCACCGTTCCCCCACTCGACGTGCCATCGTCTCCCACTATACGTCCCTGCTACCCCCACTTTACTTCCACCGTGCTGGCACATACACAAGCATATCCCAGCCCTGTCCGTGTACGCTGCCCGTTCGGGTTTTTCCGCCGACATTCGGTCGTCACTCGGCAACGTATACAATGAGGAAACCTTGGAGACCCTCGTCGAATCTGAATTCTCACTGCGGCGAAAATTCACGTTTTCGATGCGATGCCCGGAAACCTAAGCGCGTGAACAACAGTCAGGGGACACTATTCGAATCCCAATGCGGCGGTTTTACTTTTTTTTTATTTTTATTTTGTAATTTCACTTTGTAACCTTCCAGTAAGATAAAAAACTTAAAAATATTCATTTTTGAGGCATTTAAAAAGAAGAAAATAAATGTGTCCACTTCAGTATTTTAATTTTCTTATACACAGGATGTCCCACGCAATTGCGATATTGTAAATTTAAAAAAAGAGTTACATTAATTATCTCCGTTATTTTTAGAGATATCAGAAATATTTAGTCACAGAAGTTGTTCAGTATGAAGACGGCTATTACTTAGCAGTAACAAGTTTTTCATAGGTGGAGTATCTTCTAAGATTTCAAAGTTAATTATGTTATGTTTATTAATGATATTGAAATATTATGGGATAAAATACTTTTATTACATAAATCAATTCTTCCAAACATTCTGCGTAATAAAGTATTAATGGATTATGTGAAAAAAGTAATAATTCGTGACATATTTTAGTAGCAAATGTCTAGCTTGGTTAGCATCTTTTACCCAGTACGTGTGATCCGCGAGACAAGAAGCAATCAAATTACCACCAATATTCATTCCACCAATACTCATTGACCAATAAAACATTATTAAAACAGTATTATATACATTTCGCTTCTGTGATGAGATGTGCGTGTTGAACGCGACACCGTATGTGTTCCAGCCGGGGCGTGCTGGGCAATAGAATAGGGTACGCGCACGTGTGTGAGAAATACGTGTGAGCAAGGGGCGTGGCTTCCGTACAGATAACGGTGGCGCAGGAAACGAATGTCTACTGTACAGTGGATTCTAACTATATTGCCGATTGCCACCACGGTCGATATACAGATCCGGAAACTCCCATGGTGGGGGTGCTCCCTTACTGAAGACCAAAAGTTTCATGAATCTTCCACTAGCCATACAACGCTGCAATCGACGCGTCCGTACAAAAACGCATTCTGATGCAGCGCACGGTCGTATACACCGTGTGTATGCGGAACACAAGTTGTGCGCCCTGCCAGTAGAGAGCGTGCCACGTAGTAATATGATTTTGACCAATTTTGACTTTCATTCAAAATATACAAATATTTTTCATCGGAATGTTTGACTTCTGTCCCTCAGATATTATTTTCTTTGACTAAAAGTTAAGAACGTCCTACTGTCAAAGCGTTTAGTTGTCATTTATTCATTCATCATGTTTTAAAAGCAAGGTCATGATTGGTGATTGCCACGGAACAGATTGCCACGCGAGGCACTTCTTTCTTGATTCTCTAAAGAAAGACACCTTGCTCATAGAGTTCCATCACCTTGCACGGAATAACATTAAGCCAAAATTACTAAACAAAACCATCCGAAATTTGAATCCTACGAACATTCTTAAGACTTAAGGGTACATTCTCATGTAAAATTTTCAAAAAATCAGTTTTATGTTTTCACATATTTTGACCATATATCATTGCGAGAGTATTCTGTAACAATTTGAAAAGAAAATTCTTAAGCTTGTTACGAGTCAGGGCTAAGCGACTGCGAGAGCCAAGGAAATGGCGAGTTTGGTTTTTTAGAGTTGTTACGTGGACGAACCTGTGCCTCGTTCATCACAGGGAGCCACTAGGAGGTTGGTAGTCGTGAACGAACCCGAGCCTATTTCATCTCAGGGAGCCACCACTAGAGATGGCGTGCAAAATCACTAACGGTGACTTATCACAATGATCGCCGAATCACGATCACGGATCACGGTCGATCGGTATTGCGATTTTTTTATCTTGAGTGAATTTGCTCACTGCGATCGTAAATCCTTGATCTTTAAACAAAAAAAGCGTATTCAATATGATTTTACGATGAATTACACTACTATTCGTGTTTGTAAAAATCAGTAGAAAAAACAAGAAATTCTAAAAGAAT